TTCATGTTATGCAGTAGCAAAGGTTGCATACGTTTGGATTATAATATATGACTTTGTGCTCCATTGATAACTCGTACATTCTACTTTGAGTCATTTTAATCCGGAAGAAAACTTTCGATTGTTGTGTGCAGGCGGAAAGATTTCAGTGGTTCAAGCTCTTCTTGAAGAACTGCCAACTCAGTTCCTTACGTATGTGCGTAGTAGAGACATTAAGCCGCTTAATGTGTACCAAACTTAGTCTCGAAGGTTTATTATTCATGGAAGTTTGACTGTACAGATTTAGCTCAGCATTGTTAGTTTTTACTTTTTAGTTCGTGATATCTTGGATTTGAAAAATAATGACCAAAATGGTCAAGTGTGAGATGAAGATAGAAGTGTCTCAGAGGTTGACTCGTGAAAAAGATTTAAATGGTTAAAAAGAAGTCGAATAATAATATATAATAAAATATAACCAGACTCGTAGTATTAGAGAAACTGAGAAAACATGTGAAAAATAATAGATGATATTTCATGGAGTATATGATGAAATGTTGGATATATATGCATTCTGAATAGTAAATATCATGAGAGTAGTTGCTTAGAACTTTGACGTAGTGGAAGATGATATCCACTTGTCCAGTGATATATCTGAAACAAAATGTGAATACTTAGATCCATCTATATCCTAGTCTATATATATATCATGGTTTTCAATTTTCCATATATATACACTCCATTGATATTTTGTTAGGTCGCTTAACAGTTATACAATCATACTTAAATATTATATTTTAAATTATAATATAATAAAAATAGTATATTTCATAATATAATTATGCATGTTTTGTTAAAAAAAAATGTAGATGTTTTACGCTAATCATACTTAAACATCATATTAACTACAATATAAATAAAAATATGACATTTTATAATATAAATATGCATTTTTTGTTAAAAGGTAGGATGTTTTACAGTACATTAGAATATGTGATATACAATAGAAAACTAGTACAACACTAATGTATTACACATGTGCTAGTTATAACAATTTATACTTAAATTTATACATATAAAAAAAGAGATTACTCTGTTTAAAATTTAAATACTTTTTTTAAAAATACATTTTTATTTTAATTTAAAATAACAACCATCACGACTTATTTGTCTTATATTATAATAATTTTTCTAGCCCATATAGTATAATAACATAAATTTATTTAACTGATAAATTATTTTATTATTTTTTTAATTAATATTAATAGATAAAATAGTTTATTATAAAGATAAATATAATTATTTGTTTTATATATAAAATATCAAATGAAGTTTGTTAAGCGATGATCAATTTGATATCTATAAAAGCCAATAATAAACATAATAACTATTGACTTTTAAAATTTATTTAGATTTAAGTTATATAAGTATTTTACAATTTTAAAAGTCCCACACATGGATAAAAGTCGAGAACTAATGAACTGCTCTCAACACTAGAAATTGATATACATGGAATGTTTTAAAGCACAAAAAATCGATACATGAATTGCTATGAAGCACCAGAGATAGATACATACATAGACTGCTCTAAAACAAGAGAGATTGATTCAGAGCAAAGACGGAGCCATATGAGAGCCCAGAAAATACTATAAAATATGTATAGAAATGCAAAATATCTTTACAATACACTAATAATTAAAATTTATTTTCTATGTTGCTTTAATTTAAACTAATAATAATATTTATTTATTGAAAAATGTACTACCAAGCTTATGCTTACGGGTGACGAGAATCAATTTAAAAAAATAATAATATATTTTTTTAAGAAGTAATATCTAAAATAAAACTTTTTTTTTTTTCATTTCTCTTAAAGCAACATAGAAAATAAATAAATATTATATTATGCCTCAAATTTTCGTTCAATGATTCTAATTGCACGGAGCTTCATGCATGATTTATTCGTTCGAGAGTTTTTTTTAATGAGGCCAAATTCGCACTACATTATGAATATATATATATAAATATATTTGTATGAGAAAATTGAAACAAGATGCACGAATGAGTACATAAAACTTGATTTAGCACTCAATTTTTAGAGGATGACAAATGAATCATTAAAATTTTTTGTATAGTAAATTGATCGGACAATTTTTTTAGCTAATGCAACTCGATAAAAGAAAAAATTATTCAGCAATTTTTTAATCTAGTGCTCCTCGATTGAAAAAAAATTAGATTGCCTCCTATATGAGAATTTGTATATATCAAATTAACCAATTTGTGATATTTG